GGAGCGGGTGACGCGTTGTTTGGTGGGAATCCACGTGAGGGAGTGAGTTGTTCCCCTTTCCTTGTCAATTAAAATTCTAATTACTCTTTACAGCTCTCGGAAACCATTCGTCCTGCCCGGGCACTGGCTCGTTACGTCTCAGATTGACGTGCAATCCTTCGTCAAAGCTGCCATCTTCGAAGAGCGCGAGCTCTCCTCTGCCCCCTCGTCCTCGCCCTCGTCCCTCCCTCCACACGCCCGTACACACGCATATGTGGGTAAACGGCACCTCTCGCACCTCTCCCCGCGCCTCGGCGTGCTCAACAACATACCCTTTGCCATACTCTTTGACGTGCGCGCGTCCATCTTCCGCAGCTTCATCTACAACGACGCGGCGTCGAGGGCGCAGACGAGCAGATCCCCGCCGCCGTTCTTTGGCGGGGGCAGGAATAGAGTGCAGGTGCGCAGGGACAACGTCGCGCAGGACGGGTTTGGTAGGCTTGCGGAGGCGGATTTGAAGAAGCCGGTGGAGATTGTGTTTATTGATCAGTTTGGTGAGGAGGAGTGAGTGTTATGTTTCCCTGCCCTTGTTTCTTTCATTGAATGGGTCGTTATAGGGCAGGTATCGACGGCGGAGGCGTGTTCAAAGAGTTTTTCACCTCGCTATGTGAGGTGTTCGACGCGGACCGCGGGCTTTGGCTCGCGAATAAGAAGAACGAGCTGTATCCTAATCCACATGCATATGCGACTGAACGCGAGCCCTCCAATCGTCTTCTTTCGCGTCATGCCTTGTGATTGACAATAAATGATAGTTCACAGTCTCAACTGGTGCCGCTTCATCGGGCGTATACTCGGCAAAGCCATGTACGAGGGTATCCTTGTCGATGTGGCATTTGCAGGTTTTTTCTTGGCCAAAGTTCGTACATTTCCCAATTACTTTTGTTCCGTCCTAACATGTCTCGTGCAGTGGCTTGGCAAACAAAGCTTCCTCGACGACCTCGCCTCTCTGGACCCGTATCCATATAATGGTCTCGTATTCCTCAAGCACTATACGGGAAATCTGGAGGATTTGGCGCTTAATTTCACTATCGCCGTTGACGGTACGCGCCCTCTCTCCTCTCTCCCTTACCTTCTTTTCAAACTCTAGGATTCGTATTCCCTAGAATTTGGCACGAACAAAACAATGAACCTCGTTCCGAATGGGAGCAACATTGCCGTCACCGAGGAGAATAGGCTGCAGTACATTCAGCTTGTCTCGCATTATCACCTCTCGAAACAGATACGGCTGCAGAGTGAGGCTTTCTTTGAGGGATTGTCGGAGATGATTGACCCGAAGTGGATTCGGTGAGTTTCCCTCTCCTCCCTCGTTCCACCCCTTCCCTTCTTCCTTGCCTTTTATGCCCTTTTTCCCAGTTGCTGATCATGATGCCCAGTAGCATGTTTAACCAACAGGAAGTACAAATCCTCCTCGGTGGCGTCAACACGCCCATCGACTTTGACGATTTGAGAGGGAACACGAACTATGTGGGGCTGTATCGGGATGATCAGGAAACGATCGTCATGTTCTGGAACGTGCGTTCTTTTCTGTTCCTGATCGTAATCTTTGAGGGGCCATTATTCACCTAATATACGTAGGTCGTTAATACTTTCGATTAGGAACAACGCATGGCGTTGCTACGATTTGTGACGAGCTGTAGTCGACCACCGCTTCTGTACGCCGCCCCCCCTGTGTAGTAACACCCCACTGATCATGCATCTTCTTTTTATAATAGAGGGTTCAAAGAGCTCGTACCGAACTTCTCGATCCGGGACGCTGGCTCTGACCAGCATCGCCTGCCGACGTCGAGTACCTGCGTTAATCTGCTAAAGGTGCAGTCAGATCTTCATTCTTTTCAGACTCGTTGACTGATGTCTGTGCACCACATCGATGTAGCTACCGCGATACACGGGCGAGAAGGTGTTGAGGGACAAGCTGTTGCAGGCTATCACATCAAATGCAGGGGTCGATTTGTCGTAAAGCTTGTGCCCCCCTCTATGGTATGTTCGCCCCCTTCTTCGATGGTTGTTCCCGCTCCATTGATGAGGGTATAGCTTCTAGCTTCGATATTCTTTGAACCCTTGTCATCTTGCCTGACCTTGGCGGGCACTGGACCCTTTGCGACCCCCCTTGGCACGTACATAATCCAATAGAATGTTTTGATACTTGATGCAGTTTTTGTAGCCGTACTTTATACCTAGAGAATAATATGGATAATATGTATCGATGACCTCCGCCTCCTGCTCATGGCTGAGCCGAGGCGTCCCCGACTGGTAAGTGGCCATGAGCAGCATGGCGCAGTTGGAAGCGCGCGGGGCCCATAATCTCCTGAAGACGTCAACCACGAGGTCACTTGATCGAAACAAGTTGCTGCCATGTATGTGTGTGTGTGCGTTACTATTTTGGGACGCCTTTTTTGCATCTCCTAGAGAGGAAGGAAGGCCAGGCCCATTCTACAGAACATAGAGTTGCTGTGAGAGCCATGGCCATGAGTCATTGGATGCCCAAGCTCCTTCACGTAGTTACTAGTCACTCAAGATCTATGCATCACAAGTATCACAGCTTAGCCACAGGTGCACCACTCCTGGGTAGTCCAACACCTTCGCCCTGCTCTCACACCCGCTCGACGCCTTTGCTGGATCCGGATTCCACATCAATCCTGCATCAAACTTGGCAGAAGTCCACATCATAGAGTGTCCAGCGGCTACGAAACTTCAAACCTGTGCAAGTTCGTTAAAAAACATCCGTTCATTCTATTCGTGTGCGCTCAAAAAAGGTCAGGCCTTGGTTTGGGCCACCGCATCCTGGGAATGGTGCTGAGCAACTGTTTGTGCCATTGGGTGTACTTCGACTTGAGGATTGTTCGCCCGAATACTGGCTGTTCCAGGCACCGACGGAGTACAGATTGAGGATGTATGTATCTCAGCCTTCCCTGCAGGGACACAGATGGCGACATGAATTTCGTGTACGGTTTCAGTAAAGTATAGGTATGTAGGCATATCGTCAGATGATTGATGGATGAAATATGCACTAGATTCCGAACTGCGGCGCGTTTCAACCGTCTACATAACGAGAGCGGGCCCAAAGCTGCGTGCCCACCCACTTCCAGCGCTCAAACCCCAAGCTACGCACTCCGCTCATGTGAATGATGTGGCTGATTCTCTCGGCCAATCATCAACATTCAGGCAGACCCAATGACCCAAAAGCAGACAGAATTTCTGTGAGCATTAATATATACCGTTTTCCGCCCTTTTCTCATTGTAGATTGGCTTAAAGCGAGCACTTGGGCTATGTGACATTTATTTCCGGGATAATTG